CTCCAATGTTGACAATTGCAGTGGCCTCTCCACCTGTCACTTGGAACTCAACAGTATTAAGTCTTGTGGCCGTTAGAAATCCCGCTTTGTTGTGCCTCTCACGAAGAGTTTTTTCCACACTTGGCGTTAATAATGTTTTAGTTTTAGAAGCTTCGACCCGCCTGTTATTAAACCACTCTGACATCTTCGCTTGTATAAAATTAAAGAGGGCAATGACAAGGTAATCTCGAACATCTTTGAGCATGGCATTAACTGACTCAGACATGTTTGTGGTCATAATATTATATCGATTTCCTTTAAAATGAGCACGAGACCACATTTCAAAACGAACTTGCTCCTGTAGGTATCTAGCAACACTGGGATATCTTGCAGACAACTCATCAAACAAGACAGAAAACTCGTCAATGCGGTAGGCCTCAGCGGTTTTAAAGAACAATGGCAGAACACCGCTACATATGAAATTACTCTTGATGTTTTGAGACACATGCCATGTGCAACAACCGTGATGTGCTAATGAATAAACTGTAGACAATGCATTACTTATACTTTGATTCCTATCAGAAATAAAAACTAATTCCTCAGAATCAGTGATAATCACCTTCAAGTTCGAGAAGAACCATGTCCAGGATGCATCATTCTCTGAGTCTACAATGGCCCATGCGATGGGATAACAATGACGTTCACTATCCTGTGCAGTGGCAACTAACAACGTACCTCTGAATTTTCCCTTCAACCACGTTCCATCAACACTGATAACTTTCCTCATGCAACCAAAACCTCGTATACAAGGTCCATATGCTAGGAAAAGATAGATAAAACGGTTCTGTTCATCAAAATGAATATTGGTGATGCTATCGTGATTAGTAAGAGACACCATATGAAAGTATGATGGGAGCTTAGTGAAGCTTTCTTCGGCCGTACCTCATACGAGTTGAAGTGCATGCTTACGAGCCTTCCATCCTTTGTAATAACTGAAGTCCGTCCCGAATTCGTCACGGGCATATTTCTGAATTGATTTCGGAACCGGACCCTGTTTCACGCCTATAAATTGGTTTTTCATGCAACTTCCAATAACGGAGTACGTTGCTTGCCTGTGGTTCGCTGAATGCTTTTCTAACGAGCAAGAGTGAACACCATTATACTTGCGGATTACAAACATGTTCGACAGTCTCAGTTTACAGGCTCGGATACGCCACACACATTTCGGATCCACACACTTTACTACAAGCACGTCTTTATTTGATTTTGTTGTTTGAAACTCAAACTTCCCTTTCAAAGCTATTAAATGCAGCTTTTCCTTCAAATCATTCTTACTTGTAAAGTACTAACCAACCTCTAAACTAGATCCGTCACTGAAGGTAGATCCATGAGATGATCCAAACTCAGTCTTGTCCATACAAACTAAAGGACCAGCAACTTCTACTTCATTTAAAATGGTAAGCGGTTGTGGCTCTAGCTGTGGCTGTGACTCTGGTTGTGGTTGTGACTGTGGTGGAATATCATTATGAGTCAAAAACTCATCTGTAGCTACATTACCCATAAAATCACGATCAAAAAAATCATCATGCAAAGGATTTCTCATAATTTTGACTCCATCAATATGTTCTTCGGGATTCATAAACTTCCCATCCACTATCACGTGTAGCGGTACCTCGTGGGCTATATCCCTGAAGAATAACAAATCATCATTGTCTTTTATTACAACGGGCAACGATTTCTGTTTCAAATTCGGTACCCACGATAACTACAAAGAATGTTTTTGTCCATCAATTCCACATTTTCTACAAATCTTATCAACGAAGGTTTCGAGAGTATCATTCTCATCCATATATATGCCAATTAAATTACAATCTGTATGCCACACCCAACAACTTTCAGTATAATCCCATTTTCCTCCAATGTCAAATAATATGTCATTAAACCAAACCAAATATCCCACGACCAGACTAAGAACATACCATATAATGAGAACATACCATATAATAAGAACAACCCAAGAACAAACCAAGAACAGACTAACAACTGACTGTGCAATAAGAACAAACTAAAAACTGACAGTGCAATAAGAACAGACCAAGAACAGACCAAGAACCGACCATGTTATGAGAACAGACCAAGAACAGACTAAGAACCGACCATGTTATAAGAAGAGACCAAGAACAGACCAAGAACCGACCATGTTATGAGAACAGACCAAGAACAGACTAAGAACCGACCATGTTATAAGAAGAGACCAAGAACAGACCAAGAACCGACCATGTTATGAGAACAGACCAAGAACAGACTAAGAACCGACCATGTTATAAGAAGAGACCAAGAACAGACCAAGAACCGACCATGTTATGAGAACAGACCAAGAACAGACTAAGAACCGACCATGTTATAAGAAGAGACCAAGAACAGACCAAGAACCGACCATGTTATGAAAACAGACCAAGAACAGACCAAAACAGACCACGAACCGGCCATGTTATAAGAACAGACCAAGAACAGACCAAGAACAGACCACTAACCGACCATGTTATAAGAACAGACCAAGAACAGACCAAGAACAGACCACTAACCGACCATGTTATAAGAACAGACCAAGAACAGACCAAGAACAGACCATGAACCGACCACGAACAGACCACGAACCGACCAAGAACAAACCTTTTTTTTTCTAAACCCGGCGGATCTTCATCATATCAGACAATGTAAACTAGTCTTTTAACATGTAAAATTACTATTTTAATGGATTTTTAACTACATTCTCATCTTAAAAATATATGAACAACAACGAAAAACACCATGAGAGATATAGAAAATGAAAGACTTACTTAGTAGCTATTCTTCAAACTTCGTTTTGGACGAGAAAAAAACGTTGAATAGGCAAGATAATAATATTAATGAGGTTATGCGATGACGATGACTTGAGAAGAAGATAGGAGAAATTGAAGGCGGCTGGGAGAACAAAATGGCGCGAAATGGAAGAGGAGGAGGAGAAAGAAAACCCTAAAACCATAATTGATGACGTGGAATGCTGACGTGGAAGTTGGGTTATTTACCCAATTTATTTTTTTTTGGTGGTTTATTTACTTAAAAACACATTTTACTTAGTCTATTTATACAAAGTTCTTGTGATTCAAAGGAGTATCTTTTCCTTTGTTTTCAGGAAACTCATAAAGAATTTGTTTGTAAAAATAAACATTTTAAATAATAATAATAATAATAATGATATATAAAAGGATAGGGGGAATTAGAGAGATAGATTAAATGAAGAGAGAGATAATTTTTGAGTGATATGTTTATTCATTAATTAAAGTATGCAAAAACATAACATAGGGAAGCTTATATTTGGATAGGAAATCCTGATTAAAGTAATAAAATTTTCAAGATATGCGCAACCATCCTAAACCATAAAAAAAAAAAAAATCAATTTCTTCATACTCTTTATTTTTTGGTTGAGTGCCAACTTATTTGGATGTGATTGATCTTTCTAAAGCTTCTGTCACAACACTAAAGATGAGACCGTAATTATTGAAAGAATTAAATTTAATTAAATGAGATTAATCAATAACTTAATTAAACTGAATTGATTAACGAAAACTATGAAAATAAGTACATAAATATTAAAAGATATTACTTTGGAGTCTTTTTTTTTATAAACAATATTTAAAACAGTCCATAAATATAAGGAAAATAGTACAATTTTGAGACAGTGTCGACCAATACAGTTTATATACAGAACTACAATACATCTCAGAATTTAAAAATTATAAATTACCATTTCGAATCTCGCGCCTTCAAAGTACACGAGCCGCTTCTAAGCCGGAGCCTTCAATCCATTGATATCCATTTGTCATGTTGTAAATCTAAACCACTAACTCTGGGGGGGTTTAAAACATTGAAAACATAATAATAAAAGTGAGCATATGACCCATTAGGATATAATTTTATAAAATTTTGTTGGTTAAAAATGCTCACGATCCAAAGACATACACCCATAACCGAATTCTTCTAAGAGAAAAGATACTTGCGTAGTAATAGTCACAAAATAGCTTAATAATGAGCATATTGCAAAGCCATGATATCACCACTAATCAAGAAATGACCCGGTAGGATATATTTTGTAAGACTTTATAAATAAAAGTGCTCATGGTCTAAGCATATCATCCAGAACCGATTTAAAGAAAGGAAATAAATCTTAAAGTTCCAGTTTCATGCATCAACAAGCAATTTAATAATAAATTACTTACAGCATCGCTAAGCCTTAATTCACCACTGTAGTGGCCCGTACGGGTTTCGGGACCTACACCCAAGGATATGATCTTCATATCCCGATCTATAGGCCATCAAACATTTTATCATTTCTTAAAATATCTCATTTTAAGAAAATATATGTTAAATCCTTAATTCAGATCATTAGGAATTCAATAGCATTATTCATGCTATTTCCTTAAACTACTTTTCTTTATAAAACATATTTCTCAAAACCTTATTTAATACAATGATGGTTTAATAGCATAAGTCGTGCTATTTTCTCAAAATCATTTTCAAAATGTCTACATAGGCCGAAATCATTTAAAACAAGGCTGTGAAGGATATAGACAAAAATATCTTATCTCTCGGATATCAAACATGTGGCTAGCTTCTCATTACCCTAGTCTCCGTTTTCCTTAAAGCTTCTGTACTCGATCCTCTTTACTAGCTTTATCACAAAATCAATGTTTTAGGATATAATTCTCATTACTAAATCGAATCAAGCTCAATCATGTCTAATTGCTTCCTATTAGTGTGTCTTAACTCAATCCAAGTTTAACAAACAACTTCACAATTCAATTTGGGGTTCTTTAAAATTGAGATTCAATTCATTAGTTTGGTTTTCTCCCTTTGAATTTCGGCTTAAAATGAGTTTTTAAAGAAATTTCGGCAGCATGCCAACAGAAATGAGGAAAAGGCCAAATCTACAATTTAAGTTCAATTCCAAAACAAATCCTCAAGAAATCATTAAAACTAGTTTCCAAACACTTCAATAAGTTCAATAACTGAAAATCTCCAAATTTAATCTAAGTTCAACCACAATTTATTCAAATCTAAACCCTAACTAAAATTTATCAGATGTAACCAAAATTGAACTTTCTCAAGTTTAAAATTCAAATCAAAGAGTAGGTTTAAAGGGATTTTACCTCAAATTGGTTGATAGGGCCGTTATCTCTCTTTTTTCCCTTTCTTTCTTGATGTTCGGCCATAACAGCCCAAAGAGAGAGAAAGAGGGAGAAGAGTGAGAGAACACTGGGAGGGAGAGAGCAGACGCCGGGAAGGAGAGGACACCGGAGGAGGAAAAGAGAGAAGGAGGCCGCCGGTGAGAAAAACAGAGGAGAGAGAAGAGAAAAACATAGGAGAGAAAGAAGAGAAAAAGAAAGAAAGAGAGAGAGTGCAGGGGTGGGTCTGCAGGAAGGAGAAAAGAGAAGGGAAGGAAAGAGAGAAAAAAAAGGAAAAGAAAGAAAGTAAAAGAAAAAGAAAAGAAAAAGTGGAAAAAATGTATTAAAGAGTATTTAGAGTAAAAAGAAAAAGTAAGTGTATTTTCAAAACTGAAAGTAATTAAAAAATTTTAATGATTTGATTAATTAAAAAAATTAATATTAAGCACACTAATATATCATAATTAACATAATTAAACCTGTTTAATTTTTTGAGGCGTTACAACTTCGAAGTCATCTAAATTTTTTATCCAAAAACAAGAAAGATAGGCAATCCTAATTCAACAAAGAGTGCCAAATCAGATATATCAATGATAACAAATATAAACATCCTAATTACAAACAATTTTAAATTCTCACAAGTAGTGAGTGCTTTAATTTTGATTGACAAAATGCGGGTTGGGAAAACATCTACTTCAACCAGCACAGTGATGATAATAGTGATCTTTTTCACCGTGGTACACGCGCCGTTAGTTGTGGCGCAAATCATCAAACGGGCAAGGAAACGCAAGCCTACTCACCATATGGCGCTTCAATTGCTTGACCCTACCAACGAACTCCGCATACTACTATGCCTTCACGAGCCTCAGAATGTACCTAGAACCATAAACTTCATGGAGATATCTAGAGGGACAGCTGATCCCGGGATAGTGGTGTGATACAATGGATTTATGCTTATATTTTGATACGTCTAATT